TGGAACACACTGGTCTCTACTGCAGTCAACACAGGCAACACTGCAGTGTGTGTGTGTGTGTGTGTGTGTGTGTGTAATTTGAAGGAGGGTGAGAAGGGTGTAGGGACCGCTCCCACACTTCCCCCATGGTGCAGCAGCAGGCAGAGGCACTGGTGCGTGGCTCTGGCCAGCACTGCATGTCACAGTGAGGAGCACAGCCTCCTTTGGGCAGTCTCTATTGCCAGCATGCCCCAGAACTCATGCAGCAAGAAAGGGAGGCCCCTGGTGCTGGACCTGGCTGCCTTCCCTGCCCCAGCTGGCTGCCATGCCTGGGGCTTCCCTTCTGTGCCATGCAAGTGCAGGGAGTGCTGGCCATACAGACTGTCTTACAAGTGCTGCACTCCTTGCAGTGATGTGCATCACTGATCGGAGCGAGGCATCAATGCTAAGCATGAGCACGTTCCCCTCCCCCACACTGCTGCTACTAAAGTCACTGTCTGCAATGGGGGGAGTGTGGAAGGGGTCCCCACACCCTCTCTCACACCCTCATGCTTCCCAGTCAAGCTCCATGATACCCCGCTGGGTGTGGGCTCCATACTGGAGCCAGCCCTAGCCCCAAGCCCTAAGCCCCACACCCACTTCCAGCTTCCCTGCCTTCTGCCCAGAGGAAGCAGGACAACCAGGGAGCCTGCACCATCAGCCCTGCCCTGTGTTAGTGGGGACCAGGCTTTTCATCCCATGAGGGTAGGAGTGAGGCACCCTTCATGGGTGGAAGGGCTGGGCAAGGCACAATTCGTTGGTGGGCTGTGGGTCACACGAAAATGCATGGTGGGCTGAATCCAGCCCGTGGGCCATATTTTGTCCACCCCTAATCTTAGGCAATGTCCCACAATCTCACCTCCAGCTGTGAATGTGTAGAGGAGGCCTTTGCATTTCAAAATAATAAGGATACAGTCCATTGCCAGATAATCCCCCTCTCAACTAATTTGAGCCCTGGCTAGATGCCTTATGCGGGAAAGAGAAGTTGCTTATGTTCTTTAACAGATCTGTGGTCATAGGGTGGCCATGATGCTCCCTGGTAGCCATGCTGCCCCTGCCCAGCTCAGGCTCAGCTGCAGCCCTTCCCTTGAATTTCACGCACCACACCTTGATCTTAATGAAGGTTATAGAAGGGAGGGTTCTTGTGGGCTCTATGTGAGCATGAACCTGTGTCAGTCCCCATTAGGATCTTCCTGGGTCCCTGCCATCACAGCCCCACACCCGCATACTAGCAGGCCTTCTCAGCCTGCCTATACCTCTGCCAGGCACCTGTTGCCTAAGGGATTCCTTGCAAGGCTCCTTACATCCCCTATACCATGCCCTAAGCCTCATGGGTATTCTCATCCTTCATGTTGCCTAATTATGTTCTCAGCCCCCTTCAGCCTTTGAACCCCCCTGGTCCCTTATACAGCACCTTCTTCAGGCTCCTGGACCCTGGGTCCTGCATGGTGCCCCTTCTCCAGGCTCCTGGATGCTCTGTGGGCTCAAAATTAAAATAAAGGCCTCTTGCCTGCAAAACTTAAAAAGTTATGTGCTCAGGGGGCTTGCCTCTCTACCCAGGCCTGAGTTGTCTTTATAAATTGCAGTACCTTCAAGAATCCTGCTGCCCACAGCTCCTCACCCCATGATTGCCAGGCACAGACCACCTGACCAGTTCAGGCTCTGGGCTTATATATATCCAGCCTGAACCCTCTTCTGGTCAGGTGATTCTTTCATTAGCCCCCTGCAACACCTTCAAGCAGCCTCATCCCTCCCAACTCAGCTCCCACAGCATCTTTTCCCAAAGTGTCAAAAC